CTTGTCAAGTTGATAATGTGAGATAAATGATTATTGAAAAACATCATGGTGTCTATTTACTTTTGAGATGTCTCTGTAGTTCCTGTATGCTGAATCCGAAAATGATATCCATTTTTCCTCATCATGTACAGAATTTTCACAAAACATCATATGTACTTTTTCATAAGTGAATCATTTTCATTGAAATCGGGTCACGTTTTGTTATGCTTAAAATGTAGACAACCACTGGCTATAGATTTCTCTAGACCAATCATGATGTGAGAGTCTTATTGATCATTCTAGAACCCACGAGAACCACGCTGCTAGTATATAAATGGTTAACAGGCTGCAGGATGTGTCATTTCTGGATAATATTTGATTGTGTGTGCACTTTTACATTATTTTTTTCTTTTCAATGCTACTTATTTGTCACTATGGCAACAAGTGATTGTGTAAATGACCCAAACATATTCTGTTATATGTGATAAATTTGTTGTAAAGAAACAAAGGCAAAACATTACAGAATTCTCCAAAAAACTATATTATACGTATTTTGGAATAAAACATAGGGATCAAGACAAATCATGGGCTCCTCACAAAATCTGCACCATTTGTGTCGAAAACTTGAGATAATGGACTAAAGTAAAGATATGAAAAAGTCTTTGCCTTTTGGAATTCCAGTGTCTGACGCGAGCCTAGAAACCACGGAGATAATTGCTATTTTTGCTCATGTAACGTGCATGGCTACAAAATACAAAATGAAAAGGAAATTTCTTATCTGATCCTTCAATCTGCTATAATACCTGTTGCTCATGGACCTGATGTACCTGTATCTACTCCAGTGGAGACTCTTGATACTCTGATGTCAATAGAAATGATGATAAGAATTGTTTTCAGTGTGAAACACCTGGTGAACCCCAACTTTTCAAACAAGGGGAACATGATGATTTGATGAGAGATTTGGGCTTTCCAAAGGATTCTTCAGAGATTTTGGAGTCCAGACTTTGGGCTAAGAACTTACTTTCTTCAGGGACATCATGTTACTGGTACAGAAATCGTGAGAAAGAGTTTATACCATACTTTTCGCAAGAAGGTTCACTGGTTTATTGCAACATTATTTGTTGAATTAATACCAATGCTAGGAGCTGCAATCTGTGAATCAAATGAGTGGTGATTGTTCATTGATTCCTTCACAATGGTAACATATATGCATCTATTCCTATTGCTCTTTCGGTTCACTTGAAAGAAATATACGATAATCTTGAACTTCTTAATTAGGTCAAATACAAAAACATACTTTGTGGAGATTTAAAAGTCCTTTGTATGTTGTTGGGTCAAGAATCCGGTTATACAAAGTTTCCATGTTTTTTGTGTGAATGGGACAACAGAGCATGAAATTAGCGCTGAATAAGAAGCAATGTCCACACAGAGCCAGCCTGATACCAAGATCAAAAAACAATGAATGTGAAATTTGGTTGACATAAAGAAAATCCTATTACATCCACTTCACATAAAACTGGGCTTTGATGAAGCATTTTGTAAAGACCTTAGATAAAGATAGCAATTCCCAGCTCTTTTGGAAGCAAAATTTGAAGAAGTGATTTTTGTTGGGCCTCAGATTAGGAAATTGACTTCGGATAAACAGTTCGAGAAAACAATGAAGAAAATTGAAAAAAAAGAAGAGTGGATTGCTTTTAAAGATGTTATTTACAAATTTTTAGGAAACAGCAAGGACCTAAATTATGAAAATATGTCAGTAACATGTTTGATAAATTCAAAGAATTGGATTGTAATATGAGCTTAAAAGTTAATTTCTTACACTCATATATTAACTATTTCCCTGAAAATCTCGGTGCCCTCAGCAAAGAACAAGCCAAAAGGTTTCATCAAGACATCAGGGAAATGGGGAGGAGGTAACAGGGAAGGTGGAACATCAGCATGATGGCTGATTACTGCTGGTCCTTGAAACAAGATGCTCCAGATGCAATACATAGAAAAAGACCACAACACGTAGTTTTGAGACTAAAAGATATAGATTTCACAAAACATATCAGGATGAATGAGAATGCATAATTGTTTGATATCAATGTTCTTCCCTTTTCTTCAATTTGTTTGCATTTTTTTTTAATAAATATAATAAAAAATGCTCATTGTAGTAAATGAAAAATTTGATCTAAGTAAGAGTTTTTTTATTCCCGATTTGTAAGAAATATGCTTAGCTGAGTTATGGAAAATCTGTTATTAAAACCAAAACAACTTTTATGAAGTTTAAATTTGCAGGCCTGTGTTATTTATTTCATTATAATTATGATTTCATTTAGTTACTCCTCTGTACTATAATTGTAGGATGTTGAAAATATTTCTAACTAAACCTTTTTGCCACAGTACCACTTATTATTCTTAAAGTAATTTTTTTGTTGGTAAAGTGTTAATTATTGGAACATAAAGAGTTATTCATTAATCTTGTGTAGCCTGTCTATATTTCAGTATGACATTATTTTCAGTTTAACAATCCTTTTATTAGGTAAAATACTTTCATTATTTCAACACTGTATTAGTCTTCTATCTCTGTAAGCAAAGGGTTGTGATTACTTCATCAAATTATTGATCTCCATCATTAAGTATTCTGTCAAGAAATAGTGTTTTAAGTAATTCAATATATTATCAGTCTTAAATCACAATTATCCTGTTGATTGATAAAATGTTTAAATATTTTTAGCACAGTATCTGTCTTTACTCTTAAATATACCCCTTGTTAGACAGTGCTTTAATTAATACAGCACCAGTCTTAAGCCTTAAATATTCTCATTGTAGGTAAAATATTTTAATTATTTTTAATACTGCATCAGTCTTCAGTCTTAAATTTCATCTTTGTAGATAAAATATTTTAATTATTTTTAACACTGCATCAGTCTTCAATCTTAAATATCCTCTTTGTAGGTCAAATGTTTTCATTATTTTAACATCTTGTTAGTCTTCAATCTTAAATATCCTCTTTGTAGCTAAAATGTTTTGATTATTTTACTAGCATTGGTGTTCGGTCTTAAATATCTTTGTAGGTAAATATTTTAATTATTTTAACACAGCATCAGTCATTAAACTTAAATATCTTCTTCATAGGTAAAATGTTTTATTTAAACTCCATAATAGTGTTTGAGTTTTTTTGTAACATCTTGATAAGAAAAAATATTTTATCTAATTCATTACATGATCAGTCGTTAGGAGATTTTGGTTTTCAGATGAAACCAAATAAGAAAATGTGTAGAACTTTTAGCAGAACTTTAATTGTAGAAGCAAATACTAAAACACTTCATATATTTGTACAATGAATGACAATATTTTTTACATATGCAATATTTGAAAAGTATGGTACTAAACTGTTGCAAATGTTTCACAATCATATGATCTGGAAAATTACTCTTTAGTGTAATTCTAAAAATGATAGTGCACATTTTGTGTGCCCTATTGTTAGAATGCATAGCTGTTTCTTAGCATTTTCCACTGTCTATCTGCACTGGAATGCCATACCTTAATTTTATCTTCAAATTCAATTATTTGGTGATCATTTTAACATTGATTATTGTTTTTATGTAATTATATAGCTTCCAGTGGCTCAGCTGTATGTCTGAAAAGTTATAATGATAAAAACTGGGTTTCAATACCTGTGATTGGCACAGTACAGATAACCCATTGTGTAACTTTGTGCTTAACTACAAACAAATATAGTGAGAAGATTGAGGAGACACTTCAGACAATTTGTCTGATCGTGAGACAACCCTGAAAAATACTCTGGAAGGCCAAATATACCAGGAAATATTCACTATATGCACCACACCATAAAGAATTGCCAGCCCACTGCTCACAGATGCAGTACAAATGTCGGGACAGCAGTTACAATGAGTGACATTGAACAGAGAATAATGAATAGATGTTTTTATGTTGGGCTTAAGGTCAATAAAACTTGCTTCAGACTCGCAGCTGATTCCATTGCTATTTTGGAATTTTGTTGAGATAATCAAAATTGGCAATGATGCTGTTGGTCACTTGTACACTTCAAAGATAA